GTGTGTGTGAAATGAGCCATTTTGTGTGCGCGAGAGAGAGATATATATAAGGAGTATACGGATATAAGGAGTTTTTTCAACAACAAAGTGGAGGAGAACTCTCTCCTGTCAGACTGAGAGACTCAGTGAGTTAAAGGACTCTTTCAGTGTTTAGATAGTTAACTTTAGTCTAAGTTATCTCAGTGGGTCTCAAACGTTTTGGTCACGATTAATGTAAACAATTATTTCCGAGGCACACGTTTATATGATCATTATAGTTATAAAAAAATAAGAGAATAAATGAAAAACAGGTATGAAATACTATATTACAGTAAAACAATAATTACGTTTAAAAGGGTGATTTGTAAAATATCCATAAAGAAAAAGTAAATCTGTTTACAGTTCTGTTTCATAGGTGTTGAGAGATGTATCCATAGATCTCTTCATTTTGCTCTCAAAGTGCACCAGATTGATGCTTTTAACTTCAATATTTAAAAATGTATCTTCCCGGGGGAGCTTGCCCCCGGACCCCCCTATGTGAGGTCCACACACCACCTATAAAAATAGCACTTGACCCCTGCTTACACCTATAAGCCGTGAGCTGATTATCGAGCCCTCATTGTAACAGTCACACTGTGTATATGCGTGGGGATTGTTGCAGTAGAAAATTCCATTGTAGCGACCGGTACATTAATGGGAAACCCTAAATGTTCGCGCACCCTCTATGAAACGTCAAGCTACCCCAAAACAAATCTCTGGCGCCGCCACTGAGCCTGACTATTTGTGTTGGGGGGGCCCAACTTTTTTTTTCTCCAAAGGGGGGGCCTGACAGAAAAAGTTTGAGAACCACTGCTCTAGGCCATGTGTTATTGCTCTTCCGTAATTTAGTAAAATATATCAACACGGTTAAATTAAAATAAAAAGTAGATTTTTACAACAAACAATTCAAACCAAGAACCTTTAAAGAAACATGCCAAGGGAGAACATCATATAGCTTGACATTTGGGGGGGGGGGGGGGTTACCTTGATTGGTGATTGGCTAATGGTTACACAAGCCCAAAAATCGTTATGACATCATAAAGTGGCCGAAATCTGATCAGCTCATTTTCAGACAGGTTTTTATATAAATGGATCAGGACAAAAAGAGAGCGAATATTTTTTTCCTGAATCTTTCAGAATCTCTTTACACAGAGGGGACACATGTTGATGTATAAAAGACATGAAAAAGTGGATTTCGCATAATAGGTGACCTTTAAATCGGCATGAATGCTTTGTATTCTTTAAACAGCTGAGTGTTGATTTGTTCTGGAAAAGTTCAATAAAAAGGCATTCAGTTCCTGCTCCGAAGCCTGAATCTTAGAGTGCTGGAAACCTGAGGGACACGGAGCCGGAGCTGTATTTAAACCTGTGAGGTCAAGTAGTTTCCCCAGAGAGGCCGCACTGTTCCGGCTGGAGGAACTTTCCGTGCACTTTATAAAATAACATGTTCTTTGTTGCCTCGGAGGACAATCTCACACTTAAAAGCTCTGTGTGCGAACCGCATCGTTCTGTCTGAACCTCGCCGTCCATTTATATTCCTTACCTGCTTTTCCCTTTTCATTGTCAAGAGGGCAACCGAGCATATCCCAGCATGCATCTGGGTGAAGGTAAGGAGAGACTTTGGACAGGCTGCCAGTCAATCACAGTCTCCAATATGCTTTGAACGACGGGAGAAAAGTGGGAAAACATGCACGATGAAACACAGTAAAGTGCAATAACTCAAATCCAGTGTTTCTTCTTTGACAATTGAGAGTTGGGATTTGAAAAAACAAAATGAAAATATGTATTTTTGTACAGCCTGTGTGGTGTATTTAGGCCATGTAACATACAGAATTGAACTTGTGGTGGAAAATTAGTTTTCCGTTAAATCGACTGAGACATAAACTAGAATCTGAGGCAGCCAGATGATGAACAAAACAAATCCCAATTACCCCTCCCATCTCTGCTATAAAAACAACACTGCAGCTGGGGCTGGAACAAGAGTAGATGAAGCAGGGACAGATTATTCAGGACACAGCCACGGGAGGATGCAGAGCTCCATAGGAGAGCAAGGACTTGACCTTTTCTGAATATTCATGAAGGGAGACAGAGAGAGAATAGAGATTTAAACTTGTCCTCAGACCTGAAACCTTTAAGGAGTCTAATAACGGAAGACAGCTTGTGATTCAGCGCAAAAATAAATATATCTAGTGAGAGTAGCCTAATATCAGTGTATTTTGGCTGTCTGCCAGCCAGAGGATCAATAGCCATTAACATCATCATGCATGCAGTCAAGAGGGCAGCAGGGATCTGTGGCTGCGCGGAGTATTTCATCCTGATAGGAGGCAGATAGGAGCTTTAGTTAATGTAAGAGCATCTCCTCACTGCCGCCTGACTGACAATCTCATCAATGTGCCGTGTATGTAACACACCCGGCAGCCTGCAGAATCTAGGTCATTTTCTGGCTAGGATTGGATGAGAGGAGGAGCAGTCTGGAAACATAAACGTGCCGTACTGCATTCATTGTCAGGAATCAGGTCGTAATCCACACAGACGCACGCACCTCTTTTATCTGCTTAATGAATCAAGGGATCGAGCCTCCTGCGGTGCTGAAATCCACTGAGAAATACAGGTAGTGAAGAAGAGGGGGAGGAGAAAGGGGGAGGGGGGAACGGGTGTAATTTATTGCTCCAGTTCCCTTTGCTTTAGCACCGAGGACACACTGTTCATTAAGAACCCAAGCCTTCAGTCTTCAGGACACACAAAGCTCTGCGTCATGTAATATTGACATTGGCTCACACACACCGAGCAGCAACGCAATGGTGAGGCAGGGATTACACACCGGCTCTGGAACATCATGTGAGAGATGGTGGATGTGCTGAGGTAGATTTGTGTCCTTAAAGTGCTTTCCACAGTCAACAACAAAAAAATCATTAAAAGCAATGCTTTCGCTCAAATCCATTTAAAAATCTATTCATGTTTGAAAACATGTCGAAGGACAGGTTAGTGCTTTTGTAAAATCACTCAAATCTGTCTGGTTTTACCTTTACCCCTGGAACAAAGCCTACACCGAGGCTGATGGTAGCATCAAAATCCTCCATCCTGGAATAATGAAAAAAAACATTTACTTTGTTTAGGGGTGTCAGTTGAGAGTGATCAAGGTGCTTTAACACATTGACGAGAGTTCACAGCAAGGCTCAACTAGCGTGTTGATGTTTGGCATTTTCCATGTTTACCATCTCTCAGTTCAGTAGCATGCTAACATGTGTTATCGCTAAGCACAAAGGAGAGTTGAGGCTGATGTGAATTATATAAATCAGCAGATATTTGGCCATATATCAAATTACAGACACATTTGATGGCACTTAATCGAAATACTCCGATATTTGCTATTCATCCTATGGGGACCATGAATGTATTTGACAGACAATCCAGCTGTCAATGAAAAACAGAAGCCAGTCTTACAGTGTTGCTTTAGAGGGGGAAATCAGGGGATCACCAAAGAGTCATCCTCTGGGGACGACGAATGTTTTGTACAAAATGTAAGAAGAATTCATCCAACAAAGGTTGCGATATTTCAGACTTCATTAAAGATGTGGCCCAATTCATGCCGAGATACTGGAAGCTATAGGCTACATGCAAAACTATAAACAGCATGGAGAAATCTCTGACAGCTGGCCTATTTACATAATCTCACACTTTACAGTATATCGTCATCTCTGAGTTTTAATGAGGCATTTCATTGAGTAATGCCTCAAACCTTTTCCATCACACACATTAATAATAACGCATTTTGGTAAAGCAGGCCATATGTAGCCATTTCTTTTTGTCAAATCCGCAAATTTTAATATATTATAATTGACAGCGTATTTGTAGTCCTTTGCTAACTTATGGAGCGGTTTATATTTCATCCTCATGTTCCAGGAAGTATTGCTGTGTTGTCGTTTTGACAGCATCACTCAATCTTCCCTTTTACTCTTACCAGTGCCTTCAGGTCCAGGTGATACAGAAGCTATGTGCGCTTGATTTGTTTTCAGTGAAATGTCCAGGGAAAGATGGCACTAAATTCAACCACTCAAATTTCACCACCTTTTTTCAATTTGAAGCTTTTGCCAGCAGCTGAGCCCGATCCATTTGTGCACTTCTGCTCAATCATTGACCTTCCATTAAAGGATTACAAATGGCCTATTTTTTTTATATGGTACAAAACAGTTTCATCAAAGAGATTTAACAATAATCTGCTGCACAAAATAGAGCTTTTGAAATCACACAAAAAGGTTTTAATAAAGTCCTTTTCAAAACAAAGTGGCAAAGCTTCACAAAAAAACCTAAAAGACCACATGCAAAGAACTGAAATCTAACATGAATTTCAAAAGCTAAAAGTGAATAATTACATAAGGCACCAAAGCAAGAAGCCCGCCATTTAAGACGTATAAAAATAACCTGTTATGAGTGGAGACTTTGTTGCTGGACAACACAGGAACAGCAGCTAAAATGTGAAATCAGAGGGCCCACTGCAGTGCCTCATTAATGGGATAATAGGCGCGTTCACACCGGAGAGTATAATGAGGAGGCTCCAGAGCAAACTCACCTGGTGATTACACAAATCTCTTGTCCCAGCGTGAAGCAGACGTCTCGGACACCATATGCTACCATTAAGGCTTTAATCGGGCAGGAGCAGGTGAGCAGATTGTGGGCGACATCAGCGTCTGTCTGCCTGCCAGGAGGAGAGGGGGTCCTGCCAGTTTCCAGGACCCCTTTCATACATCACTGGGAGGCAGCTCAGTGGTTATACAGCTTCCTATAGTTTACTAGTGCGTATGGACCAAGCTTCAGTTAGGGATGCTGATCATTCATTTTTTTCAACTGCTGAGGATATGTACGCACATTCAGAGAACATCATGACTCTGCTGTAGTGAAAGAAACATATCATTATGCCTTCTGTTATTGTGGGGGCCCACTGGTAGATGCAGGCGAAATAAAAATCACTACTTCAACTGAGGTTATATGTTAAAAATGACATTTATTGTTATGTAAGATAAAGTGATTATTCCTTACTTATGGAAGATGTTCCTTCACAAGTTTCAAAACAGTGTTTTTCTACACGGGGTTCTACCTCTCCTGTAGATAGTCTTTGAGCATGTAAATGGCCTGTAAAGGCTCAAATCCAAAAGTCCCCTCCAGGAGTTATTTCCCCACACACACACTCCTCCTCCTCCCTCCTCCCTCATGCCTGAACCGCCGCCATTGGACTCCTTTGCTTTCGGTAACATTCTGACATCACTATTTCACACAAGCGATTATATTGGCTACCACTCAAACACATTGTATTTGATAGGCAATGGGGCGGGACATCTCTATGCGGTTGACCAATCAGAACAGAGCCGGCCAGCTAGCCAATCAGAGCAGACTGGGCTCTGGTTTCAGACAGAGGGTGAAAAGAGGTGCTGCAGCACAGGCAGTATGAGAAAAATAAAGAGCTTTTTGAACAATAAAGCATGGAGACACGTCACAGTAGAGGAACAAAATACAAATATGAACCTGAAAATGAGCAGAATACAGCCCCTTCAAAAAAGACATTTGTTTTTATACCTGCTTCGTCAACATTTACAGTCATGTGTGCCAACAGTCAACATGTTAAAGCCAGACTGTATCAGGTTAGGGTTAAACAATGCAATGCTAAGCATGAGGTTATGTGCACGTTGGAGAAGTTTTTTCCCCACATACAAACAACTTGTCAGCCTGAGTCTGCTGCAGTCAGTAATGACAACATTTAAACTACTTTTAAAATCATGTTTATTACAATTTAGAAAACACCATTTTGTTAACCGTTTCATAGCAATAGCAGGAAAGAAGTGAAACTGTATTGGAGCATCGTAGATGGGGCCTGGGCCAACCCCTGAGTTAAAAACTGGCTGTGTTTCGGAGCTCGTGCGTCCCTACGCTGCTGGGAGCAGGAGTCACCTGCTGCATCTAACCTGGCATAGACTAGAAGAGAGAGTCAGTGCGGTAGTCAACATCTCAAGGTAGAACGCCTAAGGAAACGAGACCGAAAAACCGAAGACATCAGGTAGAAAAGTTGATTTGCAAAGTCACTTTTCAAGTCAAGGTACTTCCTGCCAAAAACATACCGAGTATGCAACATTAACATGTAATTAGGTTGCCAAACTGTCGGTACGTGGGTTGAATCACTTAGGGGCGGGGGGTTCTGCACAGCTTCAGGGGGGGTGGACTGGGGGATACTTAGGGATGCAGTACAGATGTAGTCCGAAGAGGAAGTGCAAACAATGTCTATAAGGAGTGTTTCTTGAGGGGGTTAGGTGGGCGAGGGGTTACGAGCTAAACACGGCTCCGCCCCCCTTTACTCATCAAGGTGCTGAGAGGGGCGACTCTCTGGAGGGCGAGCACGAGAGGTCCTCGGGGGGGAAAACTGTGAGTGTGCAGGCTCGGATCCCGCCCAGCGACTCGGGTAAGTCAAACACTTTGTGCCATTCGTCTTTCTCGGGGTCGTACTTCTGTACTATTTCCACCATGCAGCGATTGTTCCACGAGTATCCGCCCACCACATAGATTTTATTCTCAAACACGGCCACGCCCACATCGCTCTGGCCTCGCAACATGGCAGCGATAGGAGTCCACAGGTCGAGAGCCGGGGAGTAATATTCGCAGCTCAGCACGTCGTCGTAGTCGCTGGTTCCCCGGAAGTGATTGCCCCCGATCACGTAGAGCCGGTCGCCCACCGTGCACATGCAGTGGAGGCCGCGCACCGTCGTCATGGGAGCTTTCTGAGTCCATTTATCCGCATCTGGGTCAAAGCACATCAGCTCCTTCTGAAAAGTGTCATGAGTGATTCCCCCTGCAGCAAAAAAGAAAAAAAGAGTGACAATTAACCTCCATGCTGATCATTTGTAGGAGTACAAGCAGCTTTGTGGACCCGTCAATCAGGCCGACCTGTGACTCATCGCCACATGTCAGCCCACATTTATTCATGTAGGCCATGTGGAGCAGCAGACGTAACACGGGAACATTTGCTTCAGTAGAATTATGAATAACGAGAATCAGGACAAAGTGTTAATTTTTTTATTTCACCATTCCTCGAGCCCTAGTTCTCCAACAACAAATTAGTGAAAAAACAGAGTGACATCTTCTCTACAGTATGATATAATGCTGAGGATGAATACAAAGGGAAACGCAGTTACAAAACATTCACGCGCATCCGCACCAACAGACGGTAGACGACGGGACACAAAAAGCTGAGAGAAAGTGGGGAGGAAAGAAAAAAAACAGGACATGTCTACAGGGAAGGCTTAAAATAAAGAGGAACACAATCCCAGCATGCATTTGGGTGGAAGCCAGCCCAGCCCTCCCCCTTAGGCAGAGTGACTAGGACCAAATGCAGAGAAGATTTGCAGAGCATGCCGGATAGAGGCAGAATCTGCTGCGGCCCACTGATCGTGTGCACGCTTTATTGTTGAGGCCTAAGCTGTCTATTCAGCTGCCATGACTCAGATCTGTGACGCTGCACCTCTTCACTGATCAAACCCAAAGATAGCCCGACTATCCATTTTCTTTATCAAAGTACTCGACGGGGCAGGTCTGCTATAAAAGTCCTGACTAGTGGAACAGTGCTGGAGCAGACGTGAGGTCCGTATAACTCCTCTCAAGAGGCCCTGCTGCTATCCTCATTCAGGTAAAGGGCTTCGGCCTCTCCTTGATACAGTGCTGTGTGATCAGCATCTCGGTGTCCTAATGTCCAATCAGTGAGACACTAAGAGTGGACACGGTTTTATCTCAGAGAGACAGGCTAAAAGCTTTCACCAAAGACAGCACGGGACACATTGGGGTATTCTTTGTATCGTCTCCTACTTCGCTGGGATAAAAACATTTCACTGTTCAGCCACCCAAAACATGAATTAGCCTTTGGGACCTTTTGTAAAAGCAGTGACCTGATTGGTCGGTGGAATCAGCGTCGGCACACACAAAGTGTAGACAGAGGTGAGGCAGGAAACGAGGGCTCAGCGTTTTCCAAAAATACCCCGTGATGATAAAGAGCGTCTAGACTTTATAACTATCTGTGCCTGAAATAAAGTACAGTTGAATAAAGAGCTGCACTCATAAATCCACTAATCAAGAACAAAACATTTGATTAAAATCAGCAAATATTTTTATAAAGGATACATCTTTTTTTTTTATACAACAATGTCAGAAGATGTTTTTTTAGCTTCTGAAATATCCAGATTTCTCTGTTTTGTATCATGGCAATCTGAATATCTTAAGGTCTTAGACTCACAGAACATCTCCGTGGAATGTTGTCAATATGTTACAATACAATTAATCGAGCTAATAATCGTAATGACAATATATCCGGTTGTTTCAACCCTAGTCAGATCTCATTGCTTTAGAAAATCTACAGGAATCTTTTTAGTTCAAATCTAAAGACTAGTGTTTTTCAGTAATGATCCTCATTCTGTGAAGTTATTTTAAGTAACCTCAGAGTACCGTTACCACATTGTAAAAGTCAAACCGTCCCGTTTTTCTTCTGACATTTCAGCCGTGTTGTTAGTCCCTGTAGACATATGAGATTTCAGATTCCAGCAAAGTCTATAATCACTCTCTTTCACTCATTTACTCCCTTTATAACATCAGTATGCTCTCTACAGTGCGCTGCAAATTGAAATTTCAGACACTCATGAATCATTGTTATTTTTGAGACATCACTGACAGTTCAGTCTCATAACAATCATTTTCACCTTTCAAAAACACATTACATCGTATTGTGGGATGGTTGGGGTAAGAGTGTGAATGTCAGACAATTAAATAAACGACAGAGGGTAGAGACTACATATTAAATAAGGTGAGCTTTTAGACAGTCTTCTCGAATCCTTACATCATTTGCAGAAATGCCTTTGTGTCAGTACTGGCAATATTTCAAAAGAGAGCGAAAGGCATTTAGATATTACAGATCACCGCCCTATATGCAGAAATACATCTAATTAAGAAACACTTGCATTCTTAAAAATTCAGAGAACAGCCATAAATAAACCAGCTTTCGCACAAATACATTAAAATGACTAATGAGCTTTGTTTCCTTCCCAAGACACAGAGTCCTCATCGGAGACAGTCCTTACTCATGTTGTACACTACCCACAGCGCCAACTAAAATCCTCTTTAAAATGATTTGTAACTCTAAACTGAACAATCTCTTACTTGGTATCAAAAAACACAAACCATTTTATATGTGAATCTTACAAAGTGCCGGACATTAAGAAAACTAAATCCCACAAAGAAAAACACAAACCAGACACATTATTAACTCTACTTTCTACCGAAGAGCTACTCCCATACATGATGATTATAGTGGAAACTTAAAAATACAACAAAGGACGTATTACTAATTATTAGCAAGGGGGCTGGAATTATTTTCATTGTCGATGTGTCCGTTCGATTTGTTTCTCTATTACAGCTGTTTTTTCTATAAACTGTGAGAAAATGTTTTTTAAAAGCCACTCCCTCATAGCCCTACAGGACGTCCTCTTGTTGGGTCGGCACCGCAAGATATTCAGTTTCTCAAATAGGAGTGAAGAAACATATCTGTATTTAAGAAGCTGGAATTACAATTTTTTGTAACGTATTAATCGATTATCAAAACAGTTGGCGATTCATTTAATAGTTGACAACTAATGGATTATTATTTGCTGCTCTATTTACTCTATCAATAAATCAGCCAGGCCAATGTCTGGGGGACAGGCGAACAATAGATGGCAGCTAGGTTTGAGTTATCCAGAAACGGTGTCACTACTATATCTATATTGTCCAGGGAGAGCACTGAAACACTAAGAATACATATATCCAATAATAAAAAAGGAAACTCATATAAAAAATTTAAAAAAGGGACCGCAATCCTGTAGTCGGGTTATAATTACATATTGTAATTATTATATATCCAAACATCTCATCTTCACAGAGGTCTCTTCATTTCAGGTAAACCTACTTCTATCTTCTGCACCAAAAAGCTAGTCACCTACATGATGATGATTATAATGGAAACTTAGCAAGGAGGCTGGAATTATTTTCATTGTCGATGTGTCTGTGGATTTGTTTCTGTATTTTAGTAGTTTTTTCTCCAAACTGTCAGAAGATGTTTTAAAAAGCCACCCAGCGTTCCTCATAGCCCTACATGACGTTGTTTTGTCCGCACCGCAAGATATTTGGTTTATTGTCAAATAGGAGTGACGAAACATATCTGTATTTAAGAAGTTGGAACGAGACTCTTGGAAGATGACTCACTTAATGAACTTGAAGACCTTCACAGAGGTCTCTTCATAAGCCGTTGAACCAAAGGGAGAGAGGAGCTCAGCTTTGGTTCAGCCCTCGTGCCTGAACTGTGCCTCAGCTCTGGAGCGTGATGGAGCGTGCGCTGAGTGCATGTGTCAGCTCCATACCGCTGACAGGATGCCTTCAGACAGCGCAGCAGCCCGGCCGCAGGATGTGATCTGATCCGCTCCGACACACAGACACAGAACTGCACTTCAGCCGGGTCACCTTGCACAGCGAGACCGAGCCCTGGGACTACAGAGCAGCAGAATGCCTCTAATGGGTAATGCTCTGTACCTTTGTGCATTTAAGAACTACAGTGCATTACAGACAAGGTTTCCTACGAGCTGTTCTGCGTCTTTCTTGTGTTAAACCAGCAGAAATTCACAAAACTAAGCTTTATCCGCAATTATTCATTTTCTCCCACATGTAGAATTAAGTGCTGCAGGTGCAAAGGATGACATCGGTTCAATGTGAAATGTATCACGCTATTGACCACAACCAACACAAAAGGAATCCATTACAATATCAAAAAGAGAGCGCAATAAATACGATGTAGTGCTGAGTGCAGCCGGAGGCGGGAGATTGAAAAGCAGCTGGGTGCCAGCAGATTAGCTCAGTCCATGACTATTCTGTTATTCATTACTTTATTTATTTTGTTACAGTGTGCCTTTCATCCTCGCTCCTCTGTAATATTAGACTTGCCAAATTGCGCGGTCTGGGTGGTAACCAAATATGCCCCAGTTCTCCTGCATCCCATGTGAGACTCGATAATTAAAAAGGTATTAAAGTTTCTTTCTTTTTGTTCAAACATGAAATAATAATGGTAATCATGCCAGCAAGTCCGATTTAGTACATTTTAAATCAAATTAAAGAAGGGGCTGCATGCACTATTAACACAGTGACAATTATTCCAGAACTCCAATGTATTATACAAACAGCATTTCCAAAGAGAAACTGAAAACAAATAAAAGAGTAAAAAAACAACTGGTGCCAGTTCTGGGATTTACTTTGTGGAACTTAAAGTAAATAAAGAGATATCTGGAACGGTATGTGTTCCGTGTACAACTACAACATTATGAATACAATTTGCAGGAATAGGGCGAGCTGTGGATTATGAAATTGGCCGCCTGCAGTAATCAACATCAGGCAGTGTATCTAATAAAAGCACCTTACATGGTACATAAGCTGAAGAATACTGCTAACAGGTTTTAATTATTTATTTCATGTGCCAAAGCCTTCCAGCTTGCACAGCATGTGTGCAACCGAGTGCAAAGATGTTAGTGTTGTTCATGCTGATTCACCGAGGATGTACAGTTAGTCCAGAACACCAATACAACAGCTCTTATAAAGTACATTTTGTTTCTTTGGCGGGGTGTATTCACATACTTATTCGTTTTTTATTTGAACTATGATCTGGGGTTAACAGATAACGGTCATGTTATCAGTATGAGCGGGGAAAGAAATCATTACACCAAGCACTTAAATATAGTTATATAAGTGATATGCAGTTTTGTTCAGACGAGGTCAGAGGGATTGGCAGGAAGTTGGTCAGAATTCTTCTTTTTTTTAATCTTATTAGAAGAAACTGATGTTGACAAATTGCATATTTTGCAATGAAAAGCAATATATCTTATCCACATTTTTTTTAAGGTGCAATAATATCATTCTGTGACTCCAGATCTTGATAAGATGTATTGTTGGGCCTCTGGCGATGTCGCCCCTATTATCCCGATGTGAAACTCAGGGTGTCGATGACAAACATCCGAATGATGAAACTCCATGTTTCCCTTTTTTGTGTTTTTCTCTACCTCCAAAAAAACATTTGGAAAACAAGAGAGCTGTAAATCTGCAGTGATGTTTATGAACAGCGTTTGTGTTCAGGAGGAATTAACACGGCTCTTCTGTTCTACACCTCCTACACACGCTTCAGTCCTCCACTTTGCTCCATCTTTCCCAATTTCTCTTCCACCCCTCCCGTCCCTTCTTTGTGGCGCTGCTGTGGATTAGTCACACTCAGAAACCAGGGCTCATCTCCATAACGCAGGATTTATTTTCAATCCTACGAAGTAACCAAGTATTGAGGTGATACCTACAGAGCAGCCTCTGCATCCACCCTCTGCTCCGAGCATTTTTTTAAATAATGATCAAAATGCTTTTATTGAATAAATGGAAAACATCAAGAACTAGGTTGTATTTCATGTACTGTTTGACAATTGAAATACACATTTCCTAATATAATCTTAGACTTTAAAGGGGCCCTAATATGCCTTTCCGGGTTTTCCCTGTCCTGTAGTCTGTTATAAAAGGTTTTTCTGCATGCAAATGGTCTGCAAAGGCTAAAATCCCAAAGTTCCCTCCAGAGGGAGTTTCTCTCCACAAACACTCGCCCCCCCCTGCCTGAAACACATCAATTGGACTCCTTTGTTTACTTCTGTAACATAGTGACATCACTATGCAACACTGCACATTGCACTTCTATTGGCTAGCACTCCAACACATTGTAAGTGATAGGCTAAGGGGCAGGACATCGAAGCAGTTGACTCATCACAACAGAGCCAGCCAGCTAACGATGGCGCTATATCAGGGTCATAAGTTTTGATCATTCAAAAAAAATACAATTTATTTAAGTTTTTAATCCTGAACTTTGAAAAACACAATGACGTATTCAAAATAAAAAATAAGTATTTGAAATCATTTCTCAGGTTGAATATTATTTTTTATTCAGTTCAGCAATTTTTTTGAATAAAATATTTATTTTCAGATTTCACTTTTATACATATTTTGATATTTGAATCCTTATTTTTTTCAGTTGCAGATTTTTCGTTTTCAGATTCAAAACAATTATTTGTTCAGTTTCAAAAAACATTTTTTCAGGTTTCACATTGCTTTTCACTTTCAGATCGTTTTTCACTTTCAGATCTTTTTTTTCTCGCTTCTAGACAGAGGGTGAAAAGAGGTGCTGCAGCACAGGCAGTACGAGACAAATAAAAAACCTTGCTTAACATTAAAGTATGTAAACACGTCACGGTAGAGGCACTACATACAAATATGAACTTGAACATGCGCATGATATGGACCCTTTAACACACTTGTCACTACAGCTCTCTCTCTGACCCATGTCAAAGCATGAAGCACGCAATCAAGGCTGGAGGAAATGTATCACATGACGAAGCCACAGATTACATTTTCTGGCATTGCATGATATAAAATGTAATCAGTCGTTCCATCTTTGGAATAAAACAAATCTAATTTAAAATCGCATTGCACTGAAAATGCCTTTTAATTATGACGTCTATTTTTACACTGATTACACAACACCGTACAAGCCTATTTATTTGCCGATTGCCATTTAACGTACTCACCTGAAATATACATATAACCCCCGTACACCGTCCCAGCGTGGCCATAATGCGGTTCATTCATTTTGGCAACGTATGTCCATTCATTTGTCCTTGGGTTGTAGCACTCCACAGTAGCTTGAGGAAAAACACAAAATAAAAAAGAACGTATTAGTAGAAAGTAGGTCAAGTCACAAGTAAGGAGGACAAACCGCAGCAATAAGGCCTTGGAGGGTCTCAGCGTGGGGGATAAAACACAGATTTAAATACAGAGAACACATCGCTACAACGCCACCAGCTATAAATGCACTGACTGCACAGGAAATGGGGAGATTGTGAGATCCTTTATCCTTTAGGCCTCAGAGGATCGTTCAGTCAAATCTGTGAGAAACCGGAACAGGGACAGTGGGGTTTATGAGTGGCGCTCATAGGTGAGAGACCCCTTCACAAGCAGCCAGGGTCCAACTAAAACAGGTTGTGATTAAGTGAGCAAAGCTAGTTGGACAACCACCGGGAGGGATTTAAAATGACACATTAAGGGATCTTCACCTTGATGATGTAAGCTTCAATTAACTGCTGTCATTTTAGATGGCAACCAAGAGTACGTGCTTTGCCTCAAACATCGTCGTCTAATGTAGCACAAGTGTACGTTTTAGCACAGCCCCACCGGCCACAGATAAGTGATTTTCTTATCTTCCCAGCTCCGGGAACTCTCAGCTGCACAACAGGATCATTTTACAAAAAACCTTGCCAATAGAAAAAGTAGCTAGTGAACTTAATACCAGTGGTTAACAAAGACTAAACAAATAATAACAAGAAACATCGTTTGAAGACTGGTTCAATCCTACCAGTTAGTTTAACTTTAATACTGGTTTTAAAATCCATCAATAAGCTCAGGATGATCCACCTGGAGATACAAATGAGTGAATCCCTAACCCTGCTTGATCAACAACTATCCTCAGTGTGACCTTGAGCAGTGCACACAGTCATATCCGAGGAAGTGGAACAGATGAAATGCTTGTATTGAGTTAACCGACGTATAAACCTGGATATTGCTGATGTACCAACAGAGACCAGTGGTTCACTTTAATTAAAATTGGCTTATTTACTCATCAGATTTTCCTCTTAACAGCTGAAAAGGTCACGTGCCTCATTAGCATGATTTTCTATTAGTGCAGGCTGTTCACCGAACAAAACACTGCAAGCGCCAATTGTGTCAACGGGTAATAATCAGGATGTAGCAAACTTCTCTTCGAGCAGCTACTGGAAGAGATCTGTGATGCGGTGGAAATTATTTAAAAAACTCAAATGCAAATTTCCATTACCGGATTAATAGACAAGTACAATGGCGCACTAGTTTGTATCCTTACTTTTGTGTAGTTTATAATAACCTTATTAAAGATATATCTTTTTGGTTTTTCACTCTCTGCTCCATTACCATAATGAGTTTATTAACTTAATGTAAGGCAAGGTTATTCCAGTAGGCTTTTAGTTACATTTGAAAAGATATAAGCATAGTTTGATGATTAAAGGGGAGAAAGAGTCGTTCTAAATTATTCTGTGACGAATTATTGTGACACAAAAAAGTCATAATGTTCCATGCCTCCAATTATTATCCACAATTATTGAATAAGGTTTTTGTCAAATGACACTTGAAAAGAAGTGTGAACGAGGTAAATAATTTAAAGTAAAGTAAAACATGTAATATATATTATAAAAAGGCTAAAACGGACTGATTTTTGCACAAAAAATAAATATACAAAATGGACACCTACCTCACCACCAAATCAAAAATAAATCATAGTGAGGAACAACTTCTTAAAAAAATGAGACACTTGTAATTTACAATGAAATCAGGCTGTTCAAAAATATATATTGTGTAATTTGAAAAGACTAAGAAGAAGAAGACGAGAAGCACATACAGCCTAATGGGAATGGGGCGTGCTACTAAGGGAACCAGCCAAAATGAAAAGCTTCCTCCTGGAAATATCCATCTTTCTGATGTTGAGCTTCTCTGTTCTAATGCTGGCATTTCAGACGCTAGAATATAAAACCACATCCGTAAAACCTACGCAGAGTAAACACATGTAATGCAGGGGCTGGGCCCATCCAGGGAAACATCAAGGCTGCAATGAGAGGGCAGTAGAGCGGGGGGGGGGGGGGGGGCAGCTGTGCAGACGGGCAGTGAAGCGGGGCCGTGTTCTCTGCTCTAATTATAACCCGGAGAGAAGCTCACACCGCTCCCTCTGCAGTCACAGAGTTTAAGTGCTGGGTGGCACCTCTCTGTGGCTGCAGAGATTCCTGATTTATTACTCGGCAGCCAGACTACAATGAACAGATATATATACATCGCTTTATTGAAGTGCTTCTAGGGGGGAAATGTGAGTCCAAATGTCACAACATGATGTTTCATTATGAAACCTTCAGAACTGACTCCAGATGATCCGACAGAACCTCTCTATAGAGGTTATGAGTAACGTTCATTTGAGGTATTGAGACTGTATAAGTAAAGTGGGAACAACCTAAGGGGCTTTGTTGTGTTGAATGCATAAAGTTAAAAGATACAAAATACAATGAGTAGAAAATAATGAAATGAAAAGGAAATATAGAGCAGGGGAATAAACTCACCGAGCTCCCCGGCGGCGTTCCTTCCACCGACGGCGTAGAGGTGTCCCCTGAGTGCACTGAGGTGGAAGAAGGTTCTCTTCTCATTAAGGCAAGCCACCTGCATCCACTTGTTGTAGCGGGGGTCGTACCGGAACACCGTGTCCACTGCCGTCTTGCCTTTGGTGTCGTAGTTGCTTTGGCCGCCCACCACGTAGAGAAAGTTGCCGATGACTGCGATGCCGTGTTGGTAGCGGGGAGCGTCCATGGAGGCCAGCGCCTTCCACTCGTGAGCCTTCTCGTCAAAGAGCCGCAGCTCCTTACTCACGACCAGCTGCTGGCGGAGGACCCCCCCCAGCGTGACCAGGTGGGCGCTGTCCGAGCGGATGGCTGTCCGTTCTGACTGCATCACCGGCTGCATGTAGGGCATCATTTGGTAGTTGCTAGCCTCCAGGAGAAGGTTCACACATGTGTTGTCCGTGCGCATAAAGTCCACTGTCTGCACGTGATTGATGAGTTCTTGTGGGTTCATGAGAGGAAAGCGGATGTTCTTCATGAGCTTAGCGGCATAGTCCATACGAACGTCTTCGTAGCGCAGCCAGCGGCACGCGGCCTTGAACAAGTCCAACTCCGTGCAGTGTTTCAAGCTGTTGCTGGACAGCACAAAAGCCAACCGGTCGAATGGCAGCTTGACAAACTCTCCGGTGCTCAGCAGTGAGGGGAAGTTCTTCAGGATGAAGTTGTTGACATATTTGTCCACCTCTGTGAGGTTATACGTGTTGGCGATGCGCCCCACCTCTACACAGTTGTCAAGAGAAACCTGCAGGGAGGAATAAATACAAATCTTGGAGAGCTGGAACTAATGACTGCATCTTCTAGAGAAACTCACATCCTTAAGAAGATGATTTTTAATCACAAAATATCAGTGATTTAGCATTAAGGAATGCTGCAATCAGAGCCAAATTAAAATAACATTTACACTTAGAAAGATAGATTACATAAATAGCCCACAAGAGAATTTGCTGCTTCACTATGTTAATAGCTTTTAGGTTCTTTTCCCCCAACACATAACCAATATGAAGACGTCAATACGGGCTCCAGGAATTCAATCAATGCAATCATGAGTTGCATTCAAACAAATGAGGTTTCATGATCATTTTAACAAGCTCATTACTTCTGAAAGAAACCCATTTTATATTAGAACAGCTTTATAATTCTACCTGGTGACAGAATTATCAAGTTAGTTCAATAGCTGCACTGAAAAGACACTCTTGCAGCACTTATAATACAACACAAAAACAATAAATCAAACATGTTGGCAGACGGTAGAGGAAAGATGTGGCTGCGTGTCTGCCTCCTTACCCCAGATATAAGAAACACCTTGCAGAAGTCCAGCACAGGGAGGATTTGTAAGAAGCTCGCCGCCTCCAGCGTGTCTTGCAGATTCTCCATGTTGAGCGACAACTTGGCCGTGTAGATGAAGTCGATGATTTTCTTCAGGCCTATTCGGTTAACGCCGTGCAGCTTTATGCACATTAAATCCTGCTCTTTCATTCCACCTGCATCAGGAAAGAGATGACAATGAGCTTGAAGAATAAAAGCTTCTAAACACATTCAATTCAAATGTCCTAGTGTTCAGAGACTATTGACGGTCTCGGGGAGAAACCCATTGCTCAGCATCTGTGCTCACACAGCTCCATCATCACTAATGAGCTCTGAACTTACTTCCAATATGGACACAAAGAAACTCTGCTGACTTTACAATAATTAAAATTCCCTTTCGTTGCTCATTATATACACCATGTAATGCAAATGGCCACGGTGCTAAATTACTAATCAAAGTAAAAACCTTCATTGAAATAGGCGTGTGTGATAGGTCCAATTAAAGCAGTACGGTTACTTTCTGCTAACAACATCTGCCATTAGGTTTAGTCAGTTTGCCTTTAACAAAAACATTTGGTTGAATTGTCTTTGCCACACACACACACACACACACACACACACACACACACACACACACACACACACACACACACACACACACACACACACACACACACACACACACACACACACACACACACACACACACACACACACACACACACACACACACACACACACACACACACACACACACACACACCACACACACACACACACACACACACACACACACACACACACACACACACACCACACACACACACACACACACACACACCACACACACACACACACACACACACACACACACACACACACACACACACACACACACACACACACACACACACACACACACACACACACACACACACACACACACACACACACACACACACACACACACACACCTCAGGGGGGAAATGACAGGGACCGTGTTATAGCACGGATATGTTTATGCTTTATTGTATAATACAGAGAAGATATAAAGCAATCAAATGTATGCGCCATAGCAACAGAAAGCACATCCAATACAAATCAACGTTAAAGGGTATCAGTAAAGTGCCCCGTTTTTATTTACTTAGACATTTTTTTTTTTTTTGTATTAAGTCCATCTTACATATTTATATCAGTATATTGATGTCTTTTATTACATTTTTCTATTTCTATATTATTTCTCTGTTTATTTAGTCGTTATTAATTCATCTTTTTTAAACTAATATTTGTAATTACTATTACTAGATCTCCCTGTATAGAGGTATTCACAAATGGACAAAAATGGTCTTGAAATAGCAATTGAAACAGAAAAGCCTTTTTGTTGTTAGCCTGAAAATTACAGTAAAAAAGAACGATACATTTTTAATGCAATTTAAGAAATATCTTTGGACTGTTTATTTCTTGCGTCTCAATTTCTCTTATGTACATTGCCTTGTTTCTCTATGCTGCTGCAATGCAAACAAAGTACCTATCCTATCTATCTATCTAGAAAAAAGAGAGACAGGGAAAGCCGGAGTTGAGCAGACGTTCAGTGCAGCGGAGTTCTGCAGACCCACCTGTGAACATGGCTTTGAAATAGTCGGAGGAGGAGGCCATCATGGCGCGGTGTACGGGGAAAGCTTCATCGCCGTCCCCAGCCACCAGCGTGACGTCACATAGTAAATTCTCTATCCTCAGCTGGTCGAATCCCTGTGAGAAGAGGAGGAGGAAGAAGAAGGTGATGCATCAGAGTTACAGAGACAAGCGGAGGGACCTGAACTATGCAGAGGGCCACAGCAGGTCAGATGTGAGATCATGGAACTGAAATGGCTCGTGACGCCACTCTGGTCTACTTTTACCGTCTGACTGAATGTGGCCTGCTTGTTTTATTGACTGTCTTGCACGTCACTGGTTTAGAATGATATGTTGAAAGCTACAGTACATCATCCTTGTATCAGACTTAAGCTATTCACATAACTGCACTGCTTTATTCAGTCTCTTTAGGGTAATTGTTGTTGTTGAAGGGATTCCAGAATTCCAGTAATTGATATTGGCCGACAAAGGCATTCAATTAAAAATATTGGCATCGAACAGAATTAAATATTTCCTTCAACATGACATTAAAATAAATATCCCGTTCTACATGTCTCCAAAGGTACATTTGTGGGTTTTGTTTGGCCCAATTAATGTGTTCTTTCTGAAAAAGCATAGTATTTTATCTCAGTGAGAGCTCATGATAACACTTAACATATTAATAATATGCAAGTTCCACAACAGGAAAGACAGGACATTCGGAAAAAAACATGTTTGTATATCGCCATTCGGCCAAAACATGTTGGAAAATATCGGCATATCGGAAATCTATCGGCCAAAAATCCATTATTGTGCATTGCTCATTTAAAACAACAACCCCCATCCTGAAATCAATGAGCATATTATTGACCTGAATGGCTGCACTTTTAATTGACACGCTGCAGTCAACTGCAGTGGGTCTTTGGAGAATCACATTTTGCTGCTGGGTACCTGAGGCTGTCTACACATGAGGTTTCTTCTCAAAAACATAATCACTTACCACATCTTGTGCTTTTTTACTAAAATGCAAAACAAATATACAATTCCTGGCTTTTGCCTTATTATTTTTCACGGCTTACAATCGGCATTACTGGTTACACTAATAGCATGCCAGCAAGACAACTTAGAATGGATGCTATGGACTTTCAACAACAACTTAATAAATGCATGTAATAATCAATCATTGCTTACAGGATCTCTAAAGACAATGGGACAAATTGAAACATCCTGTGATGATATTTGAGTTAACCTTCAGGGCTCCATGAGACTTTGTCGCTACAGGTCTCTCACCTGAAGAACCACTGAGCTGTGTGTGTTGCTTGTGAAAAATCGCGTGTTTCCAGTCTTTGATGCCTGAAGGTGAGCAGAGACGCCCATGTCACCATAGCCCAGAGCAACTTTCATGTGAGCGTCGTCGTCCTCCACGAGGGATCTGTTAGGGGGGAAAAGCAAAACACGTGGTTACATCTAAATGTAGCTTATGGTAAGTAGGACATACAAGCTTTTGAAGTGACAAAGTGGTAGCCTAATTGTTTCTAAAAGATGCAGATCGGCAAGCCTGGACCGGCTACAAATATCACAGCAGGGGGAGAAAACATTCATCTCCGGCTCTACCAAGGCCACTTACTGGTCTTAAATATGCTTACAGATTTCATGAAAATAAGTTCTCTTCACAGCAGAATAAGAAATGTTCACAGCATCCAAGCAATTCCCTGTGGTTACGTAAAGTCTTGGAGCTCAGGATAAAATGGATAGCTGCGAATAATTTTTCTCCATATATATATATTCAGCAATGAATGTGACTCGTATCATCCATAACTCGCAAGTGTAGGTTGTGAAATGTGAAATACCCACGGCAGCCAATAAAACTACAGTAACTGCCAAATATCAGCAGTTAAGTAGCACCAATATGCATGTGAATAAATACATTCTAAGCCGATTAAGTAAAAAACAAACTAATTTATTCCTGTACAATAAAAATGTCTTTTCAAATCTTGGGTGTAATGTTTTATTTTGAGCTACTATAATCCAGCTGAGTCCCTAATTGTTTAAATTGGGAAGGGGATTTTCTGTCGGTCGGCCCATTTAAGATTTTACTCCAGAGAAAGATATTGCAACAACTGGCCAGATCATCTTGAAATGTAAGATGCCCTGGTCGAAGGTGATTGGCCAATATCTTGTGCAAGGGAAGTTCCTGTGACTTGGTGAAGTTGTAAAGAAAAATAATATTTGATAGTCAATGTTTTGTTATGAGCATAGTTACATTTACCATTATTACTTTAAATACAAAAATCAGAATAGGCTCAAATTCTAGCGCACACGAGCCGGTTTCTCCATTCCTACCTTTAAGGACCACCAGCAAGTCTTTGGGAGGCATGACACAAACGGGGCATCACAGGAGATTGTGATGACGCTGAAGTATTTGCAAACATATGTAAAATAGTTCGATTGAAACGTCTGCAAGATTAAGCTTTAGAATATTTTGGTAGTGCTTTAAAACTTGAATATTGTGGAGGCTTACTGATAGACCATAATATGTCTGTTTTGACTCTTATGGGTGTGGAAGCGTGCTCCTTCAATAAACCACAGCTAAGTGATGCATCTTCTCTCCGAGTTAAATGAGGACAATAAATCAAATTAAACTATTTTGAAATGGGCTGCACAGCATTGGAAGGATCATTAATTTTCAGAAAAGCTGTGACTAAAATAAAAAAACCACAAGACCTGATTCTCAGTTTTCATCAACGACTCAAGAGACAAAACTCCGCTAATGATGATCGAAGACAATGAAAGTTAGTTTGATTTTTAATGCAGGGACTCGACACTACTAATAAGGAAGCTGCTCAGTGAGAATTAGATTTATAATAATAATGGGTTTAATTAATAACGCACTTCATATCCGAGTTCAGATCCCGAAGTGCTCAGCATTTGAATCATCCGTATGGTCCGTTTCTTATGATATTACTTTAACTAAAATGCAATGTAAAGTCCTTAACTGCTCCACAGAGAAAATGTGGAAAGCCAGTGTGACTCACAGCTCCACGGGAAATTCTCCTGGGATATGAAAACATTTCGCGCTGACAAAACTGACATTAGAGAAGGAGCTAATTTGGGTACAAATAAATCATAAAAGTCTATACGCCATGACTGTCTGTTATAAGCAAACAGTGTTGATTGCTATGCTTTGATGCTCCCCTGTACCCTTCTTTTGAAAGGGAGATTGCTTCATCTATAAAAAAAAATGTTTATCAAACTGCTGTCCATGATATAACTAATGTTATTTGTTTAAAGAAATGACTATGACACCTCTTACAGCATCTGAGCAGTCGAGTCAAAGCAGGTTGGTATCTTTTTATGCCAGATGATAAAAAGGTAATGTAACAACAAAAGGAATTTGAGGAAAAAAGCCCCTTAATGTACTCGGCTTTTAGTAAGAGGTGACGCCTAGAAAGAAAGGCTTTGACCACACTGACTCATAAAATCTGTATTTCAATCACTTGAATGTCTCATCTTATCAGAATAAAATATATCAAGTGTTTTCAACTAAACATATAGATGACAGAGTAGTCACTGAATGTGGCACTTAAAAAAAGAGCTTGTTTTCAGATGTATTTAGGCCTGGTTTTGATCAAATATTCCTTTACAAAAATGTTTGGATCAGCATAACAGAAAGTCTTGTCTACAAACAGACCCATGAGCAGACAGTGCTTCTCAGATGTATAAGAGTAATGTTTTTCTGGAAGGACTATTTATATAATGAAGCCATTTCTGAAGTCCCTGAGTGGATGTACTTTGAGTTTTTTTGTAGTTAGCAGAGCGGTTTTATGATTTGTGAGTAATGTCCTCTGGGCTTTGAGGGGACTTTATTCAACATCTCTAAATAAAACATAGCTTTCAGATGCTAAAAGAATCCTGGGATTTTCCTGAAGTGAATTTGTTCCTTAATGTGGCAGATTTAGGCTGAAATGCAAAGCGTATTTAAAATCGACTGAAAACAATGATATAAAATGCATTGCAAAAGCACATCTTCAACTGTCACTGCGTCTTTCTGCATAAATACAGAGCAGTCTTTATGTAACTCCATGTTTAATGCAGGTCCATTATCACGAGTAATGTGGTATAATGGTTAGTACTTCTGTTACATAAATACAGCTCTGCCGGTCTTTTCTCGTATTGTTATCGCTCCACGTCACATCTGATTAGAAACAATGTAAATCATTTGTTGTTCATTTAAAAAAGGGTGACATGAATCATGCTATTAATACACCTGCTACTGAGAAAGAAGTCTGCAAGATACTTTTGCCTCCTCTTTGATATAGAGTGCCACAGTGACGCATCCTAAAACCCGGAAGTAAACTCATTCCGGTTCCTTCGACAAAAACGCAATGCAATTTCTCCACAGGATTTTGGAAAATAGCTGGAAATAAGGTCTGTGGTTTTCACACATTTAAGAAACGGGTCACGTTTTGTTCAGTCGGATAATCTCCACATGTCTACCCTACTTTTATCATTTTCTAATCATAAATCTAGTCGCCAGAAGCAAAAATGCTAACGTTATGCTATAAACGAACTACAGCAGGGTCGCTGCTTCAACGTCACGCCAACTTAAGATCCATATTCAAAAATACAGATTCTAAATTGTACAAGTTGAAGCGTTTGTTTTAACACTTTGAAGGAGGCAGGTACTTGCTTTCAAGCAGAACACGGGGGGGGAAAAAACGTAGGAGTGTTCATGTGTTCGGTGTAACTTCTGTAGTCCTATTCAGCCACTTGGTAAAAACCATCGTTTTTCAGACACCTAAACTCTTCAGAAATCACCAGCGGGGTCACTGCTGATGTATTTAATGTCGTAGAACAAAACGTGATCCGTCTCTTAAATGTGTCTCAACCACAGACCTGATTTCCAGCTATTTTCCAAAATCCTATGGAGAAATTGCGTTGCTTTTTGACGAGGGAACCGGAAGTGGTAAAATGCTAACTTACTTCCGGGTTTTAGGACGAGTCACTGTGGCACTATGTTGAATGTAGTAATTACATCTGGAAAGACAGAGCAAGACTTTCAGAAGGTGTGGCTGTGTAAAAGTTCTGTGTCGAGTTGATATTATTTCTACCTAAATGCTTCGCTTAAGGGCTCAGACTCTCCAAAGCCGACAGAGGCTGGCTGATCAAACGTTTTATGTCACCTCACATTTTGCACTTGAACACATCAGAACGACTTCAGTGGCGGAAAAGTCAACTTTAGTCTCTTTTGAAGACTTAACCGGTCAAGGCCAAAGACAGTTGGGGTATATGATGAACATTAAGAGAAAGACACTATTTGACTTTCCCTTCACATGCTGCACAACAACTGAGAAACAGGTAGGAAGACCACTGTGGATACATCAACAACAGAGGCAGCATAAGCACAACAACATGAAGCTAGCTCTATGAGAGGCAAGGAAACAACTATGATCTAGGCCACACATGCTTAATAAGGTCAACTACATTTTTAAAATGACGACGAGAGGATGGGATTGGTAATCGGCTACGTTTTACAAGGAGATGATCATGGACCATGTCAAGCAGGAATCTTTGAAAATCACTGGCTTACACAGTAGTCACAATCACACTGACACAACACAGGCAATGGCATGGCACAATTTACCCCGTCAGGTGGTAAGTCGGACAGGCACCGAGGAGAGAGTGAGATGTCCAAACCACAAAGGAGTGTTGGTGGCTGCCGGAACGAAACACAGAAGACAACAGCTACAGCATCCCACATAAAAGTTCTCCCCAAAGAACGGGGGTTTAGCTGCACTTGTAGGTTTTTTAAGATGATGGGACTTAAAGCAGCTCAGCACTAACCAATGCAGAAATCATTTATTAAACATCAAAGAATATTTCACTATTAGCCTGTCAAATACTTATTACTGATGACAATGAGTTTATTTCAGGTATTTTAACCTGAAAGTTATTTTAGAAAATCAAGATCGACCCTTCAACAGCGACATCAAAATTCATGATGACTGAAAACACAAGAGTTTGGTCTGTTGAGGTGACCTCGCAGTATACACTAGTACATTGTTCACTTTTACAAAATGAGGATTAAATGAGCGTAAAACCCCACATCAAAGATACATTATGCTTATCTCCAAGAGGCTGTATGTTACATCAGAACAAAGCTTTAAACAAGGGGGGATTAAAATGATGGAAGGTGAAGATAAAAGCCTTTGATCCTTGGGTTTAATAAAAATGAAACTTGATCTTATGCTTCTACACATCATATTTTAGATTAGTTGGCACATTCATAGTACCAATAAGAGAAGAATCATCACTTGTATGGTGACGATGAGTGCTATGGTTTAAAGAGGACATATTAGGCTCATATCTCTACTGTGACATGTCTCCATGCTTTAATGTTCCAAAAGGTCTTTATTTTCCTCATACTGTCTGTACTAACCAGTGCCCAGTCTGGTCTGACTGGTTAGCTGGCTGGCTCCGTTGTGATTTGTCAAATGCTTAGCGAGGTCCCGCCCCTTAGGCTGGCGTCACACTGTCCCGAAATTGACACAAGAATATGGAATTGTGAGTTTCGCACGAAGATGGCCCCGAACTTGGTCAACAGCCAAGCAACAGCCGAAGCAAGTACGATGCCTACAGAAGGCCACACGAACCACACACACTCCGTCAAGTTGTTTCCATAGCAACAACTTCCTGTCAACAGCGTAAATTAAAAATAAAAGCATCTAAATAAAACAGGAAGTTAACCTAAATTACATTTAAGACATACAACCGCAACGAAAGTAACAAACAATGTAATATAATTTTCAGTTTCACAGAACAAAAATGTTACTATAATACGATGGCTACACGACGGCATTGCGAGGGCTTCACGTAGTCGTGTTGTCTTCCTAAGACAATCGGGCAGTTTGTTTCCTTCGTATTGTCTTCGTGATGCAAAAAATGCCCGATGGCACCGATGATCACACGGATTAAAGACGACGATGACGTGATTTGACAAGATGCTCTCACGAAGGGCAAAATGGACACAAAAATGAACCTTCGCAAGGTCTTTCGGCAATTTTGACACCGCCCACAAAGTTGCTGCCGGAGCCTGAGGAACTCCACCGGCGGTCATACGATGGTTTAAGATGCCCTCACGAATGGCCCGATGTTACGATCAGAGCCGGATTTGAACATTTCCTTTATCGTGTGTCCATCTGGTGTCAATTTCGGGACAGTGTGACGCGGGCTTTAGTCTATCGCGTACAATGTCTCGGAGGGCTAGCCAATAGAACCACGATTGTTACTTTGTGATGTCACTATGTTACAGAAGTAAACAAAGAAGTTCAGGAGGCGTTTCAGGCAGGGGGGGGGGACTTTGCAGAACATTTATATGCACAAAAACCTATATAACACTACAGGAAAGAGAAAACTCCAAAAATAATAATAGGGCCTCTTTCAGGTTGTATCTTGCACATATCCTGGCAGATTCTTTAGATACATGAAAAAGCAAGACATGTGATTAATTTAAAGTGCAGTAATTTCTCATGTGTGCACCATAGACCAGTTCTTCTCAATGTTATTGATTTTTCTTTAAGCTCTGGAAAATACATTTGTAATTTCAACGGAAATGACAAATAACATGAATGCCATGGATCTTTTCTTTAGGTAAGTGACTCTGCATGAGCAGCACAGCTTCTTTATTTTGCACCTAAGATTTAGAGCAGAGCTGGGAGAAACAGAATCATTATTAATAAGCAGAGGACATTAATAGATTGAAAAATGAATTATGAAGAAACAAGGGCGGCACTCTAACCAATCCTTTCATGTCAGCAAAACGCTTAAAACACATCCTTCCAGCAGTGACAGTTCAGGAAGCTGAAGGCAACTTGGTTTTCCGCCCTTGGTGACAGAGTGGAAGAGTCTTAAAAGATTAACGTGTATATAGCTTTGCTGCCTCGTCGTGCTTAGCCATGCATTGACAGAAACGTTGTTCATCTAATCTTTTTCAGGTGCTTGACATCTAAAATACCCATGTCATGGTTCATGGAGCAACATATTTAAGAACTACATTGATCTTAAAATATGTTTGGATGTTTAAGGATAAGTTCACTCTTTCTTACACATGAGAATGAGAGCACGATGTATTTACAGTACTGCGATACCTGAGAAGGTGTATCCCTGGTCATTTTAAAGTAACAAGATGGGCAGGAATACTGAGTCATGTCTTCATTGTGTTAGTTCCTGGGCCCTGCTTCAAAATGACTCCTTACTCACAGGAGACGGGAAGAACAGTCCAGCACAAACACAGAAATCACATAATATGCACGTACTTCTAGTAAAAAATAGATGCAGCCCATTACTCTTGGAACATTTTTGTGTACAAACTGCAATACAAAGACTTTTATAAAACATTCACCACATTTTTGAAGTTGCTCTTAGCTACCGTGAACTCATATGACATTGTTTTAACAGGAACACAGGAAGAGCCTGAGAGCAAGAAAGACAATGAGGCAGCAGAAAAATTGGCAAGAAATATGTTTTTATACGCACACTTTATTTATAAAGGAAACCTCTTCCCCATTGACACAACACATCTCTAAACTCCTACAGCCATAGTAGAGCAGCTTAAGTAAAGCTTTTAGTAATGGCAAACATAAAAAAGGCCTTTATAATAATATAATGCAATATTATATAAAAAAACACAGCTTCAAAAGTGACAGTGCTAGGGCTCAATCTGAAGCCAACCTATTAGCTTATGTATATCAAACTAAAAAACATCCAGGTGACCAGCCTCATGATTATCCAATGTCAATGTGTTATTGGCTTCACTTCTAAGCATGGTGAAATTCAGCACCCCACTTCCTCTCTTCAACTAGACTAAAGAATTAAAAGTAAGGAAAAACATTTCTTAGAATTGGGCGAAGCTCTTCTTTCCTTTTCCCCAGCACCACACAGAGAAGCAGCTGGGCGGAAAAAACGCGTAAGCTGTATGGTCGAAGACTTCTATTCCATCTAACAGACTTTGATGCATCTATTACGCGACAATGGGTCAGGTGGATGGATTACAATATCAAAATGTGAATAATATTCATCATTCTAATGAATTAAATCAGTCATGACATATCGTATTTAGATTATTTGTATCCATTCATAGATTCTGTGCTCGGTGACATGTGGCTGCCAAATGTCTGCTCTGCCCATCATGATAAGTATTGGTCTTCCATAATTAACGCTCTGGGTTAACCCAAATGAAAGGGCAGCTGTGATGTGCCATTCACTCTTTTAAAATGCTGGTAATCGAACATGGTAGTCCGATTTAAAAATAGATTAGCATTGAAATGCAGATTTAAATAAAAGGGACCAATTACATTTCAATAGAGTTACAGTATTTATGAGAGAATGTCTTTATAAGCTTAATCAAAATGGCAATTAAAAACTGCTAAATACAACATGTAAAGACACATGTAACAAAGTATATGGTGCAGACAGATGCGGTGTGTGTGTGTGTGTGTGTGTGTGTGTGTGTGTGTGTGTGTGTGTGTGTAGAGATGTTCTTGGTGCGTTATGTTAAGCATTAGATCCACTGTTGTGCCAAAAGTTATTGGAGGTTCATTCTGTCCAGGACAAACAATCCATACACGATCCCCAGATAATTGCTCCAATCATGCTAATCATCTCAGCAGCCTGTGCGCTAGAATGACTTTGTAATTACACTTTATAATCAAAAACGCACTTTAAGGTCAAGGCTGGGGAATTTACGAGTACCTAAAATTAAGTTTCAAAAACAATTTCAAAGCCGCAGCACCATAAGAGGTTAAGCCAAACGAGCTTCACAACGTGTGGGTGGAGCAGACAATCTGTCAACATGTAGCAAATACTTAATCAGCCTGAACGATGCTGGATGGAGGAACACGACCCAGCTGAGCGTGTGGTAACGGAAAAGGACAACTACAGCCAGAAGAATATGAATTTTTGAAGAAAGTTTGCATTTCTTCATTTAGAATCATGAAGATCCACTGAAATGAAAAGTCACTTCAGATATGTGAAATGATTCAGCATAGGCAGACTCTGCAGGGCGATGTGAACCCAAGGACTGCAACCAGTGACTAAACAAAAAGGCCAGAGATGTGTCAACGCAACGGGAAATAAGACGCGTCAGCATATTTTTGCCTCGACTCAAATGAAAAAAGAGGCACCGCTTTGCATACAAACGGGCCTAATCTGTCACCATCTAAACGGGATGGACGATAAATTGCCATCCCTTTCACAATCATATATAGTAGGTCAGCAATAATGATATTTTTAAAACCTTCCTAACTGTCACGATGGTAACGAGCAGAAAAACAATATTTATATTAAAATTGAACTGGCAAAGAGTAAGGTAGTTTTTAACTGACCCGCTGATGGGGTTCAGTGTGGATTTAGTTATTTTTTATTATCTAATTATCCAAAGCTGCAGACTTTTACAATCTAGTCTTTAAACCTGCAAATAAGGTATTTTGGCCAAGGCAAAATATTATTAAATCAGCCTCTCCGAAGCATCTTTTTGAGTGAGCGGGTGTTTCTCAATGTCGAGGACGCTTGCTTGGTAGCACATGTCTTCCGAGTCACTTCCTTCAGAAGCTAGGCAAGAATCCTTCCTGGCATTCGGAAAACGAAGAGTGGAACAGACGAGCAAGTGTGCAGGACGTGTGCGTCATATGAGAGGCCCCGCCTTACATTTTCCGCCACAGATTTTGGTCCGTGCGCAAAGCATTGTGGGGATTTTAAGACCGTGGAGTCAACACATGGGCAGCCTCGAAATGTCTTGCTACGACGTACGCCAGGCTTGGTAGAATTCCAAGTATGCTGGACATTGGAACAGTCCTTCGGCAGCACTCGATGACGTAGTATGCTTGAAATAGAGTGAGTGAGATGAGCACAGACATGACAATCTACCCTGACTGAACTCCCTTGATGCTCTTCTACCTCCTGAGCCTCCCCTCTGGCCTTCCAATGAAAATAAATGATCCCTGTCCCTGTGTGGCTCTGGCTTTTTGTACAAAATGGCCTCAAGTCAGCAAGAACTTTATGTGCGTTTCAGATAAAAGGGCAGGGAAATTAAAAAGGTCCACCACAATGCTCAAATTTGGATCATTTTCCAGCAACTGAGGGCATGGGTGAAAGTGGATTGGGACACACAACCATGACTAAAAACACACTAGCCTGGCATTTAGAAAGCATATTTATAATGTTCTAATAACGTCTTCATTTCAGAGCAGACAGCGGCAGTGTAGCTGATGTGGCACACCACATGATTGTCTGCCTTACATCAAAGTAAACACATTTAAGGAATATTAAGGTGCACTCAGTAGAGCACAGGTCTGTCTGTATGAAAGGAATACTGTTGTAATGTTCGATTGAATGAATACAAGCCACAATTTGTCCTGTGTTGTGTAACCTGAGGTCAACGTTCAAGCAACACTGACGTCTTTACCAGTTCCATCTTGTCCACAATTTTTGCGTTAATGTTGACGTCAGGTTACACAACACTGACATCTTTACCAGTTCTATCTTGTAGTAGATCAGCAAAGGAGCAGCTAGATGTTCCGTGCCCAGAGCATTTTTCATTTGATATATTTGAGTGTATTCCTGGTCCATTTTAACAACAACGATGGATATGACTGTCATTCATAATTGTACACTAAATCTGACGGCGCAAAGAAAGACCAACGTCAGATAATAAGAAAATGAAGATATGTCTAATACATAAAATAATGATAAAAGCCAAAAGTTTGTGGCGAGACGAGATGAAATGTACTTTGTAATTTTTTTAAATACTGAATATGTATTATTTAGCATCAACATAGCATTTGCACACATTGTGAACAAATTAGTTAGTTATTGCACCTGTGACACAGCTTCATAATCTGTTGTGTGATGTGTACGTTTAAAACTAGTAACTAAAAAACAGTTTGATCATTTACGGCCAGTTATAACAAGCCAGCAGTCAATGAAGGTATTAACAGTCAATCAAATATGTTTTTCAAAAATGTTGAATCTTCGAAACTAAGAGATGTCCTTGAGAGCAGTCAGAAATGTGGACAAAAACTATAAAGGCTGATGAGTCCAGCAGTATTCAAGGTTAGCCGTGGATACATGCACGCACACACACACACACACACACACACTTACCACACAAGCCAACACATAATCCCCCCAGGATTATGCCTTCCGGAGATAACAAGACAAACGCAACCAACAAAACATTAATCGGATCTGGCAACAGCCCTTAAAGAAACACATCCTGTATATTCAGATACGTGTGCTTCTGTTTTAAGAATGCTCTCTACAAAATGTATGTGTGAAATTGTGAATTACTGCAGTACAATCATTCGTCTAAGAAGAGCATTGTAGTTTTAACATCTCTGCTGGCATATCATCCCAATTAACACATAAATCACATTGTGATATATCCGGTGACACCCATGAGTATAATTCCACTGTTTTATGTATTTTTAAACATAACAAGTGTCTTTCAAGTCAGATGAAGTCAGTGAGGTAAAGAAAAAAAACACCAGCGCAAAACTCAGCTCTTATTCAGTTTGATGTCAGCCGTCAAATCAACTACGCTCCAATTATTAGATGATCCTTTTAACTGATCAAATTAATGCAGGTTGGTAATGAAGTATGCTTCAAAGAATGTAAACTAATGGGCAATTTACCTTGGAGACTGCAAACGTGTAGCCGTAGTGAAGGGGTTTCAGCAGAAGGATTTAACAGCCACATGAGACATGTGAAGCATCTACATTCGCAAATGACCGTTAAACTGACTTTCAAAGCTTTCATTTATATTTCTGTACACTCTGTATTGAATTGAATTTGGTCACACTGGCTTTTACTAAAGTGTTAACACTAGAAATATTTCCAAAGACGGGGTGACTTTGACTTAGTTCATTTTGGGAGCAGCCACATGTTAGGAGAAGGCTGCATTTCTCTCAGCAGCTGAAAGGTGACTTTTAGGCTCTAGTGTGCTAAAGCAAAAAATATGAAGGTCAAGTGGATTTTTTTTTTTTTGATGCTTGGAATGATTGATGTTTATCCCATTTGTCCTTAATGGCATTGTTGACGGACTGACAAGGACCATGCGGGGAGGGAAAAGGAGAATATTACAAGCTGGACTGGACTCGAACAGGCTTTGCTGCAGTCGAGTTAGCTGGCTCACCATGACGTCTCTAAGAGGTGATTACTAAAGACAGCAGTCACACATGTTAAGTGCTTGGTACTGAACCGCTGGGTGATGAGGGATGGCATTCATTTCAAGGGCGTTTTGGGGGATAAAAGATAAACCCAATGATGCTTTACTGAGCGGAAGATTGTTCTATTGGCCGTGGAGGCAGTGAACCATTCCCTGTTGCTAGCCTGAAATCTGCACCAGGGGCAGTTTAACAGTCTATATATAGGATTAGGGTCGTTTTAAAACAGACAAGCACATTGTGAAAATAAATCCTTATTATTTTACACATCATGTAGGTCAGGTATTCCAAAAACTCTCTCTCATGTGTCCATCATCCTGCTGCTGCTCTGGATACATATAGAAAGATTTCCCCAGCAGCACAGCAAGTTAAAAATGTCTCTTAGGCCAAACTGACAGAGGCACCACTCAAAGGGCCTATAAAGAGCAACTTCTCCCTGACCACAGGGTAACCTATAATTGGGGGCGCGATATCCGCCCGTCTAAAAACACAGCTTACAATATACACATTTCAAAATAGTAAGTGGTGTGGTGGGGCAGTTCCACACTGGGCAGAGGGGGGTGGAGCTTCAAGGCTTGTGTATGCTTCACTAGCTAGCGGGCGCACACAATCTCCCGTGAAGACACGCAAGCACCATCCGCAGCCACTGAAGGACACTCGATGGCCTCTCGTTTGTGCTTTTTCCTTTGCAGAGTTAAACGAAAAAACTGTATTAAAAAAAGACGTACTGATGGAAAACATTCCTTTCTTGTTTTTGTACAATGTCAAGTGTTGAAAAATAAATACCAGACTCACTGATAACATAGCGGAGTCCCTTTTACACAGTTGCATTTTTTCAGAGGTATTTTTAAACGCACTGCCACTAACTCATATTATGAAGATTTTAATATCACAAATGTTTTTAACTGATATACCACACAGAGATGAGCAGCACAGGGCAGGTTTATGACTATTTATATTGAAATTAATAAAGCAAGTATGAACATTTGCCGTGTTATAAAGAGTGATAAAAACACTACAGGAGTAAAGAGAAAATTGTTTACCAGTAATACATATATATTTTTATGGTCCCAATTTGGTGTTACCTTGCGCCACTTTATTTTTAGCTAGCTCAATTACAGTCAACATATTTGCTAACCTGAATTCTTCATGGACACGATTGAGATTTTAATTAATTTAGATTTAATTTAAATCAGCTCAATTTATTCCACTAAATTATTGACTAAAATGTTTGGCAAATCACTTTAGATCATATTATACAGTGTAACCAGATCAGTTAAACAGGTGAAAGATCGACTGTGTGATCTACAAACTGCCTGGATACAGATGGGTGGGGACATTTGCCCCTGAACTGCCCTTAAGCAAGACACATAACCCCCAAACTGCTCCAGTGAAGATGCCGAGAGGCCAAAATATAATACTTTCTGTGTATGTGTGAGAAACTACCCTGGTTAAATAAAGATTAAAACGTAATTGCCAAGTCGTTAACGCCAATGGTGAAGCATCCATCATGTCATTTTGTTAATTACTTAATACAAAGTGACACAATTTAATGCTTCAAGTTTAGGGCCATGTATGGTAAATGTACATATTGTGCACTTTTAGAGTTAGCCCTTCTGCAGATGTCACCTGCTACACTGAGGTTAGAGGATGTATTTATCTTGCCGTCAATGCTGTGATGCAGCAATGTTTAAAATAAACATTTGTGTAAAACTGCCAAAATTAAGCTCTTAAGCTTTTAAGCAAAGCTGCGTGATAACTGCATGAATCCAATTGCGTACAAATCCATCCAAGTAAGCCTCGTTCGCCTATGGAATTGCCTTCAGGCTATCAGCTAGCCTAGCTTGCCATGAAAACTGTTTTCCTTTTTTTTTTTTCATTTCAAGATGTTGGTTGCTCCTCTCATTAGGCCCTATCCATGTCACATAAAGTCAAACAAGACACTTGTCCATTCCAGCAGAGCTCAGGAAAAAGGGGTAAAGAGCGATGATGGCGAGAGGCACTTCCATTCTACCCTTCCCCCCCTCCTGAACAGTAGCAGATGACAATAGCTTCAAAACCAGGGCACGCCAGACATCCTGACAAAGGCAGGCTCCTCCCAAGCTGCTGAGTCCCCGTTCCCAAATAAACATAGCCACAGGGAGAGAGCAAGAGCCGGGGATGTGGCGCTTGCCATGCCATGTCCAGACTAGCGGCAAAATGAGTCCTGCTGCCCAAGAGCAAAGCATTCTGCCAGCGAACCATAAAATGCATGCTGGACAAGGAAGAGCTCCTGACACACTACGAGGCTTAATCACCTTCTGCCTAATTACAACTGCAACAAATAATAAATTTTGTTATTTCCAAGTCAAATAAATCAAAAACAAAATCTATCCCTATATGAATGACATCAAAAAGGTACAATTAGTATACCATTTGTCTCTTACTCACATGTAGGCAGGCGAAAGGGGTGAGGACCTGGATGTCTTAAGAACTGGCACTGGGAATTTCCAGCTGACAGGAGAACCGCTTTTCCATTTTAACGGCATGTTGTTGTCACCAGAATGGAGCTAGAGCAATACCAACAGCAAAGACCATTTCCATGAAAAGGTTTCCAATGCAGTCTTCCATCCTACTCTGCCCACACCATTTAAGGGGGAGGGAGAGCAGCAGCAGCAGCAGCTACAGAAATACACTGGTACAGGCAGTGCAGGCTACAGTCAGGGTTGTGACTCTAGCAGCAGCACCGAGAAGCCAATAGATTGCATCCACCACGACTGCTTGCCCTGCTGCATTTACGGTTGTCTCATGGTAGGAGGGGGGAGAAGCCCAGCCTTCCCATCAGCCTTTCAGGGCTGTAAGCAGACCAGCGGCTGAGCAACAGTGCCACCTTGTTAAAGGAGATGTGATTACAGTTCTGGACGGGCTTTGAAAAGATGACGTGGAGTACAAGGAAGAAAACTATGTTTATACAATTTAATTACTTTGAACCAAATAAAGTTACCATCTTCTTAAATAAATATTCCCTCATTGAAATTAAATAAAAATCAAAATATGAAAAGTCTTAAACTATCCAATGATGCTTTTTATCCTTTGCGTTTAAAAAAAACAATGGGGGCACAGTAGAAAATAAAATGCCAAATATTTGTATTATTTTTCACCATATGTCATGACCATAACTGTATATATAAAGGTCATGACACTATAGCATTTTCAAGACCTGAAGTGACACAAATGCGAATTATCTGATATTTCTGAAAAGATACTCGCCGAAAAAAACCTAATGTGAGAACCAGAAAAGTAGAAAAAGTAATATCTCACTGAAAACAGAAGTTGTCATGCCTGACGTCAATTAGATCTGTTGGATTATTTTGCAAGAGATTGAGGAACAGCATCTGTTGAAGTTCATTTGAAGTCAAATGTAACAATATAAATGCCCCTTTGTAACCACCATCTAAGAGATACATACAATTGTACCTAAATCATCAAGGGAGCAAAGCAAATACACTCCTACTGGCAAGTACCAAATACAAAATACACGAGTCCACTGACTACAGAAGAAATGGCCCCTCAGAAACAGGGAACACTCACTATGAGGATTCTCAAGTATAAACAAAAACAGCATTGAATTGTAACTGCGGCCATCATTTGAAATGGGACAGTAAAACATTTTCTAAAAAACATTCACAATAAAGTATACATGTTGAATTTTAATTATCCAGATAATCATGAATATCCTCGCATGACCTTATTTAGAAAATGTGTCAAACAAGCCATCAAAGTAGAGTGGACAAGAGAGTCTGGAAAAATACAGGAATTATCATGCAAGAACAGAGCCAAACAATGTCCCTATATTTGTCTTCTGTGTGCTCCTTATTCATGCCGCCAAACCTTGTGATTAATGACCACCTCATTTAAGACTGTGATCATTTGTCACAAAGAAAGAAAAGGGAGGATGTGTCCTATTTGAGAAGCAATAAACTCATGTTTTTTAGCTAAATGTTAAGTAGAGAAATGACTATGTTTTAAACATATTTGATAATTGTCAGGATTACATTGTTAATCGCAATTAATTTGGGTCAGGATATTCATGACATGCAATAAGGATTTTCTTATGCCTAGTCCACGAAATTAAAATGATATTTTTCATGTTTTAGATCTATTTCAAAGTGTTGAAACTGCAAGTGGGGAAGATGGCACAGTCTAGTTATAAGGGAAAAGGCTTCATGGGAGGTTTTGAGGGGGAAGCATCCACCTGCAGCTCCATCCTCAGAACAATCTTACACCTTAAGGCTTTCCACTATTGTCCCTCCCAGCTAACACTATAAATGGCAGAATGACCTTGCCTCCACTGCAAGGGCAGCAGTCATTTGGTCTCTTCTGTCAAAGCCCGAGAGCTCCACCTGTCATCCTCAGTTATACTATTATTACTCTCCTCACAAAAACGCAACTCCCTTGGAAAGATAATATAATATCACTGCAATATTCCAAACAATCAGTGTTATGATGTTCATTTTTAAGATATGTACCCCTGTGTGTAGAAAACTTAAAATGTTTGATACAACAAAACACAGAGGGAGAACTGTTGCTTCTTTCAATCAACTCAACAGTTAATGATCATATCTGTTTTCCATAACTGCTCATCCAGTTGGTTTAGTTTCTCATCACCTCCACACGGTCACAATAATGTTAAAGGAACATCGTTTGCAAACAGATAGAAGCAAATACACAAAAAACTCTCACACAACCTACCCTTGTATAGCAACACTCGGGTCTTAATCCAAGAGGAATCAGTATATGGAATCATTTGATAGGACGTTATTAAAGAAATAAAAAGCAAGTTGATAATGTCATCTGCTCTGCTCTATTATTTACACTCAGTTTTCAAGCAGACTATGCTTCACCTGCCTGCTGTCATTGATGTCAAAAGAAACTGATCTTTTGTAACAATTACAACATAGTCGATTATTATCGCAAAGTAATTACCACAAAAACGGAGTAAAATGTGTGATTCTACAAATTAAAGAACAGAGGTTGCGCAACTGAACCGAGTTTCTGTATCTTCTCCATTTGTCTTAGTTTCTGCTGCAGCTGACTCACGGCTATACTGATATTCCTTTCCAGCAAACTCAAGAGAAGCCGGGCCAAATGTGTCGGCTGAGGACGTTTTTTAGAAGTCATAGCTTTAATCTTAACTTTGCATTATTTGATGATATCCTGTTTAAAGTTGAAGAACAAAGTGATATGTCGTTATATTCAATTTAAACTTCCACATCTGGTCAGTGACAAAACTGTTTGAGAGTACAACAGCTGGCAAATGGTGATAAATTAGCAACACCATGTCCAGGCCATTCAGGCATTGGCAAACTGCCAAAGGTGACTTAATGTACAGTAAACAAAGTAATGTCTTTTAAATCATGCGTGACACTTTAGTAAGACTCTTAGCAGTAGTTCTCAACCCTTGTCCCAGGTAATCGATGCTAGGCCTACTTCTTTTCTTTCTTACAATCTAATCACGGATTACCCGATTAACACGTCCAATTACAGGCAGAAGACATTTTCCAACCCGGACTGACAACAGCACTGATAACTCAGGTAATGTTTACAATTCAAGAACGGTCAACCATTTTAAAAATAATTTTGCCTAGTTCAAGTGAGTTAATACACATACTCAAAATTGTAAGAAAAAACCGGAATAAGAGACATTTGCACATTACCTGTCGTGTAGTCCAATGGGCATCGTCTCCCCTCTGTGCACAGGGTGCTCCATACCCTTGCCAAAACCACACCTAAAAAAATAACATGGTACCATCAACAAATATTACATTTTACACAAGAAAAACAAGCCAAATATGTTACTGGTAGTAATGGTTTGATTAGCAATAACAAGCCTTACAACTGCACTATATCAGAGTTTAATTTTGTCCGCACACATACAATGTTTTGCCTAATTAGACAAATATCAATTTCCGTAACCATGACACCTTTGTAATGCAGTAAGTCATGCATGCCAGTTTAATAAATTGTGTCTCACATCTCCAAAACAAACAGAGAACACATGTATTATTGTACTACAGATCAACAGTTAGACTTTCTTACGATTTCACACAGTTTTAAATATGTAATAACATCTACAAGCTACTTTGTCCCAACTGAGATGAACAAGTGAATAGAAAAGCCCAACATGACAGTTCAAAAGTGTCAGAAAAGGTTTAATAACAGCGTAGGACTTCAGTAAATATCAGAACTTTCCAGCATGTTAATCCTAAAAGCAAACATTTGTGTTTGACATACTTTAGCTCCCAACAGCCTGTGCTCATATTACTTCCTCAAGATAATATATTTGCAGTAATGTTCATTTTGGATGTAAAATGTCCTACATCCATTGATGAAAGGGGGCATGGGCGTTTCTTGATCCCCAACCCCAGCTGAAATGTGACAGTTGCATCATATTCCTAACGTGTTGCTTTACACAGAACTAGGCTAATTGAAGCTATAAATATCTGCCTTGTGTGTGTGTTACTTGGCAGAACAATGTCCCGGGTAATTCAGCTGACATGATGTACTAAATAAAGGGAGTACTTAGATGTTTTAAAAATAATTGCCACTGGTAAACTCTATTACTATTTGGTAAAAAGTTTCCGTAACCGCCTGGTTCCTGTTGATATGAACACGTTAAAGTGACATGTTTGTAGTGACACTGAACAGATGGAGTTGATAGTTTGCTTCTGCTAAGTGCTGTGCGCTGAGCTCAGGCATGAAGACGGTGAGGTTAGTCCTTTAAAAGCTAAGCTTGAAACATGTAGGCAGAAACTATGGAGGTAGCCGACTTCCTTGCTAGCAAATACTTTAGGCTGTTAAAAATGCTATTGTTTATTAAGCCACGCTAAACGTATACATTGTCACAAGAGACAAAGCTGTCAGACTGAAGCTGTGCTAGTTTCCTGGCCATGTTTCTTTAGCCAAGTCCTAACATCTCCAGTTGGAACAGGCTAATGCTAACTAGCCAAGCTAACCCTCAAACATGACCATTGGCTAGCTTGAAACAACGTTAGACCAAGACAAGCGACTACATAGCTGTTAAGTAAGTAGCTCTTCGTCCGATATATTTTATAGCTTCATTACTGACAGAAAACACGTAAAACACCGGGGTCTTTACATGAGTTAGTTTGGTTAGTTATTAGTTAGTGTGGTTGCTTGGTTTGCCATCATATGTCTGTGACTACCTGTCAAACTGATATTTGTTGAGCTTGATATACTACATTTGCTTTTTTAACCACCCTATGTATCTTGAATACACTCTGTAAACTTTTAAATAACATATTCCATACCTTCAACGCCGAGACAACGTTAACTAGCGTCCTTGTTTTCCTCCAAGCCCTCAAATCCACTTATACCCTGTCCTGTAGCCTCCTTCCTTGTTTTATCCAATGAAGTCATGGCTTACTAGGAGAGCCGGAGCATCCTAACTTCCCATTGGTGAAAGAGTATGGCAATCTTTTCTCATTGGCTCAAAACTTCCGTTACTAAATAAAGTGTTTCCATAGAG